ATAGCTTATAATGAAGTTTTGATAACAAGGAAATAAAGAAAAGACATTTGGAATCAGAAGCTGCCATCAATAGAAGTTTAAGGTTCAGAATCAAAGACATTTTGAATTCTGATATTGTTTTCTCCAACAATACTATTATAATGCTTTTATATGAACTTTATACAGAATCATTCATTGGGCAGATTCTTAATAAATCTTAACTTACTCTTCATTGACTGTATTTTGCAAATGGATTTTCTGATTTCTAGTGTGAGATGAGTAAAGCTCATTTTGTATTGGCTCAGTAAAACTACCTAATCTTTTGTTTTATTACATAATCTCTACTGATATTTTTTAAAGTTTCCTATCCATTCCAGCTCAGTTATAAGTATGATATTGGCTCAGCGCCCATATTTCCTTTTTATTTAGTTTTTACTTTTGTAACACAGGGTGGCCTTTAACTCATAATCCTCTGTCTTGGCTTCCAAGGTACTAGAATTTCAGGCTTGTGCAACCACATCCAATTTCAATTTCTTGTTTATTGCTATGATGTGCAGAGATTGATATTTCTTCAGCTCTCTTTGTTATAACCCAAAAGGATTAACATCTTCACTTCATTTTTTTGTTTACATTCATGTACTTATTTATGAGTGTGTGTGTGTGTGTGTGTGTGTGTGTAAATGTGTATGCACTGGGCACACACTGTATCTACCTGACATACAGTGTGGTACCGTGACAACTGTGTGGAGGGCGAGGACAGCTTGCAGGTGTCAGCTCTCTCCTTCCACCATGTAGATTTCCAGGATCACTCAGATTGTCAGGCTGGACAGCAAGTGCCTTTATCCACTGAGGCATCTCTTCAGCCCACGGCCACAGTTTTAAATGTGTGGCACCAGTGCCTGCTGATTCTTAATGGAGAGGATTTGGCAGGAAAGTGGTCCCCGACTGAACCCCCAGGTTGCCTATTAACACCTGCCATTACCTGCCATCTAAATGTAAGTTAAATAATCTTCCCAATTTGTAGTTTGGCAAAATGCCACCATAGCAGATGGACAAGCCTGTATGTAACTGGATAGTGTGCATATACGTTTAATGTGCGGACTGTGCACATTATTCCTTTCTAGGAACATCCAAACATCCTTCTGCTCTCAACTTTTCTTGTGTATACTGTTTTCACCATATGCCAGCACAGTGGGAGGGCCTTATCTGAAAGGTGAAAGGGAACACACGTACATTTCGTGGAAACTCTTTCATAGAGTAGATTTGATCTCATTCAGGGAATGGAATGCATGAAAAGTATTGTGAGTGTACATGCTATTGTTTCAAGTAATATATTTCTAAAACCAATTGTGGTACTTAAAAAAGTCGAAATATTTTAGAAATGACAAAAAAAAAAGTAGAAGTGTGTTACTTTCTACCCGAACACCCTTAAGCTTTTAGATGTCTTATTCTTTTTCTCACATCTCATCACACTCATGCAAAAAGCAGCTTGTTCGCTGCCACCATAGTTCTTCTGTACTAATGAAATTGTTCTATTCTCTGCCTCAAAATAGTTCTCATGTTTGCCAACCCCCATGAGTCTTTCCTAGTTTCTTATTAAGTAATGTATTAAACAAGTTATATTTTTTTCTTTAAATCCAAAGTATTGCACTTTTCAGTTACTGCTAGTGAGTCTAATATTCAGCCTATCTGTAGCCATTTTAAAGTGGGATAATGGCAGTCACACTGATTCAGTCACAGCACAGGGTATGGTGAATGGAATAGCTTCCATCAGCATTAATACAACTGAGTTTGCCAAAGCTCTCATCTCTGTGATTTTTAGGAACTTGATTTTGTCAGAATACTACATTTCCACTTGAGTTCTTGAAAAACTGAATGCTAAAAGTGGATTAAACATGGAGGGATTTTATTAGAGAAAGTGCTCTTGTGACAAAATCAAAACGTTATGGAAAATAAGGAGGGCTCTTCCACACAATATCTGAAAGCACGGAAAGAGAAGTGTAAGTTTCTGGACTTCTCTGATGTGCTGAAGTAAAAAGATAGTTCAGCAATACCATAAGGGAGTCCTTAAAATACAGGAATCCAGTGTTTCCTCTGGAATAGACTTACTTTAGCATCAGGAGCTCTCAGTAACATGGCCTTGAGGAAGTAGTATTTCAGAAGGTAGCAGCTGCAGTTCATGGTCAGTTACACTTGTAATTACTTGTCTCCATTCACTTGGCCACCATAAACCTGGAAAGTAATTAATCTCTTAAAGGGAACATTTCCAGCTAAACCCATAAGGAATTCAGGTGTATATTGTCAATAGTGGCTTTACTTACATTAAGAATTATTCTTCAGTGTGAAATATTCATCTAACCAAGATTGGCAAATCTTTACTGGTTAATAGAATTCTCCAGAGCCGCGAAATAGCCGTGCCATCGAGTTAGTGCACTCACACATTAAACAAAGAGATTCAGTAAATGTCTCCAACAATTATGATACATAGTTTTTTTATTCAGCTACATCAAATTCCATCTGAGGTGGTACCTGACCCAAGAAATAAATGATAACATGTTGGTCCAAGAACTCTCATCCAGATATGTGGAGAATGACTGTTTAAGCAGGCCTCTGACGCACAATGCTCACGTCCTGGGCTGACAAATCATCGCTGTTCTTGGAACCCTTACATCAAATCAACACAAGAGTCCTAATGGCTTTGATTACCAGGTTATTATCCTTTATCCTGGGACAAAGTAGATTTCTGAGATTTTCAGGTGAGGTTTCTTTCTGGTCTCTGCCGGTTTGACCAGAGCTCTGAATGGCCTCTCTTGTATCTCAGAAAGGATAGCAGAAGGGACAGAGTGACTAGAATCTATCCACATGTTCTCATACCTTCCAGAAAGCTGAGCCAGACTTCCCCCACCTTGTGATATAACAGTTTCCAATGGCAAAAAGCTCAAGTTCCAGTACACAGGTACTTTCCAGGCACTTTGGTTACCTTTTGTACTGAGCTGAAAAGTTTCACACAGCCAGTGGCAGGTCAAGGTAACTACAACTTTCAAAGGCATGGATCCAGGAGGTGCTGAACGAACTAGGGGCTGTTCTATCCTATCTGTCTTCTACAGAATAATGCCAGTCTATCTTTTTTTAATCCATAAGAACTAAAAATACGGATTTACCTCAGAGAAGGAGCTTCAGATACAGCATTATAATCAGCAATGTTACATGTGAAGTTTATGGGATTCATGTTCCACTTTGATGGCTGGCTGATCAACGCCAGCAGCAGTGGCAATGTTCTGCATTCCTGATCCTAGTAAAATAATAGAAATGTGTGTTTTGTTCTCCAGTTTAGTTGGGGCATGAATATGAAAATTAGGAAGCAGAAATTGAATAATATATGATTTGTTAGAAACTGCGGTTTTCACTGTATAGCTCTTCTATCCTCTGTGATAAACCCGTCATCACTATAATCAGGTGTTGAAGAGGATAAACATGAAAGCAACATATTGAAAATAAGAAAATAAGTACTTTGGCATGACTAGCCCTTTGGTTGTAATCAAGTCAGTTTCTGGAGCATGAGGTAAAGCTGTGCATTAAGAATTCCCCAGACCTTGCACAGTAGAAGTGTGTGGCCGACTGTGGCTTCTTTATTTCAATTCACTTAACACATAGATTAATTTTATAATGAGCTAAATGGGCATTGTTTGCTGATACACTAGACTTCCATCTCATATGTCATTTCTGTTGGCTAAACTGCTACAAAAGTTTTAAGTTTTAGAATATAAATTCTCCTCCAATGTTAAATAATAGCAGAGGTGGATATCACCTAAATATGTGTTAGAGAAAAAGATCATATTGGCAATTTAGCACAAATAAACAACTACTCCATTTTATATTGTTCCACAAAGGTGTGTTTATGTATGTCTGTCTCTCTATCTGTCAGTGTCTGTGTGTGTATCTGTGTCTGTGACTGAATGTTTGTGTGTCTGTATATGTGTATATGTGTATTTGATGAAATAATTAGTGCTAGCACTTTTATTAAAGGTTAAATCTATCTATAATGACTCACACCTACTTTCTATCTTTTTAAATGACTTCAGTCATTCTTAATAAATGACTGAAGGATGACACGTGCTTCACCCAAGTCTCTGGTTGTGACTGTGAAATTTGATTTATGTGTGACTCCCACTTTCCATGGATAAGACACATAAGGAAGTCCCTTGATTTGAAAATGTTGCAAGCCAGGTTTTTCAGTGAGATTCCACAGATTTCCACAGAGCCTATGTATGCACATTGTTTTAATGAATCTAAGACAATCTCACTTGCTCTGGGTCTTGGGACTGTTCCCTTTTGCACTGTGACTCAGGAACTGTTTAAATAGCATGCACTCATAATCTGCACATATTCACCCAAGTGCAGTTTATCTTCCATCACATTGATGTTGACAGTTGTAGCTGAGGTACCTCCCATGTACTGATACTACCCTGATACTTTCCCTCTTCAGATAAAGCCTAAAGTGATAGTTAAGAGAATTGAATCCAGTGTTATGAAGAGTACTTTCTTGATCAAAGAAGCATCTTCATTTTCTCTATGTGATAAGAGGCTTGAAGAGTTTTGCACCTTCTTTAATATCATTTGAGGGGGTTTGTATATAATGGTTAAGGGAACAGACAAAGCTGTTTTGTTTCTTTTGTTACACATTAACCAAGATTGACCTAGAATTCAGGATGTTCCTGAACATCCCTGAACTCTCTGGGAGCATCCTTTCTTACTTCAGGCTCTTGAGTACCAGGATCAGAGCTTTGAGGCAAGGTATGGAGCTAGATTCAGTTCTGGCCACACAGCATTGTTATCTTGTTTGGTTTTCTTCTGTTTTGAAATGCTGGCAACAGAACTGGTGGTCCCTCACATGCTAGACAAATGTTCTATCTATGAGCTGTATCCTCAGCCTTTTTCTTGTTGTTTGGGGAATGTGTCTCAGGGCTAAGAACCCAATGTCTCATAGTAATTCATAATATTCTGTTTTTTTTTTCTTCTAGGACTACAACGATGAAATTCGTCAAGAACAACTCCGAGAGTTGTCTTACTTAAATGGCTCAGAAGAGTCTGGCCGTGGCCGAGGTCTTAGAGGCAGAGGAATCAGAATAACTCCCATAGCTCCTTCAAGGTACCTGAGTTCTCTCTCTTAGTGTATTAACAGCAAATGATGACTGCAGGCCTTTGCTGTTCTGCTGTGTGTCGTGATTCTAAACAGAGCTAAACAATCTCAACAACACTCAAACCATAATAAGACAGTAAGACTGGATGCTTAAATAGCACGTACGACAACAGCTTCATCGACACTCACAGCAAAACAGTAGGAATGGAGGGTCAAATACCACATAAGAGATTATACACATTAACTCATTATATCTTTTTGAACTTGAGATAACTACTTTTTATAAGTGAAGAACTGTGGAACAAAAGTTGTGTGGGCCAAGTATGGTAGCCCATGCCTTTGATCCCAGAATTCAAGAGACTAAGGAAAGTGGATCTCTGTGAGTTCAGTGCCAGCCTGATCTCCATGGTGTATTTCAGGCCAGCCATGGAAATAGTTTCAAAAACAAAACAACAGCAAAAGTTGGGTAGAATATTAAAATGTTACCTAAAATAATAGATATTCTGACTCCAGAATTCATGAATTTGAGTACTTAACAACTATCCTTAAAAAATAATTGGGAACCTGAGAGTCTTTATTTCCCTGTTCTGTTTCCAGGATTAAGATACAGAGATGACATAGTCCTTTGCTTTTTTAAAACATTTTGCATGACATAAAACTAAAAAATATCCTTGCCATGTACAGTTCTTGAAAGAAAATAATATTGTCAAGTTGACTAATAAATGAATTAGATATCTCCATCACTTAAGAAAATCCAGAATCTCACTTTGGTTTGACTGTCAGCATGGTTATACAAAGTCCATACATATATTTGGCTTTGTAAAATCCTTGATGATGATGATAGTCTTTTGGTTTTGTAGGGTTCTGAATTTTGTAAGCTTTTAACAGAAAACATTGATTTGCAAAAAGGCAAAGATGTATGCATACTGTAGTACCAAAGCCAGAGACAAAACAGAAAATAAAAGAGAACTTAGACTAACATTCCTGAGCATCTATTCCATAGGCAGAATAGAAACATCAAAACATAAGGCATAGTGGAAAGTCTGGGGTCATAGAATCGAATGCCTTCCAAGGATGCTGTAACTGTTAGTGTATCTTGGGTTTTCTTTTGTCATGCATCCCCATGAGCTCAACAGCTTTGCCCACCTTGCTGCCTAGTATCTATTGTGGGTGCCCCTATGCTCTGTCTGGCCTTTTATAAGAGGCCTTAAAGCAGAGAGTCTTCCCAATTATGGCCCGGAACTTGTAGAAACAGGACCCAAAATAAACCTTTTTCTGTTTAAAAGTTATATCACACACACACACACACACACACACACACACACACACACACACACAGCACTCACACACAGGCTGTGTAATTAATTTACTTCCCTTTCTGTATAGCTGACTCATATTTGTAAAGGACACACCCTTAAAAAAAAACTCATCTGTCACAATAAAAGTATCTTAAGATGTGCTAAAGTATTCTGTAATGTTAATTAATGCCCCAAACACCTCAATCATTATGAATACACCACTGTTTTTATATTTAATATTATAAAACCATGCTCATTTATCAGAAAAAAATAAGAATTCCCAAGTGGAATACTCAGCAGTTAATTATATATATATATGGATCAATGTAGAAATTCTGGGAGAATTAAATCTACCTGAAGGAAAAGACCAGAAAAAAAATTCCAGCACTTCTTTTCATATTTCATCCTAAAAACTAAAAAGTAATCATTGTAACACCTGGCCGGGTCATTTGCTTATTGATACGTGTCGATCTGACAAGATCCAACACTTCATATGACGCCAGTCTTTATAAAATGTTTGCATTTCTAGCCTGATTTTGTTGGATTCTGAAGTAGCATCCTTGCAAGTAATCTTAATAGAACCTCAGCATGTTTTTTGGTTCAGAAATGTCATTTTTAACAGTTCCAACAGTTTGCCAGGTAACCTTAACTACATATTTAGGACACCAAACAAAGCCACACATTTCTTCTGTATTCTTTGAGAGTCTAACTACTTAAAATAATTCACCTTTCTTATTATGGAAGCTTAAAAGCATCATAGCAATAGATTCTGTTCTATTATTAACAGGGAATCAGGTGCTTGATGTAACCTTAGGGGAGAAATGTTTCTTTTGGCTCAGAGCATTTGTCAAATTTGAATGGACCTTGACTTTGGTAAATCTTTATTCTAAAGTTTCAGTTTATTTCTTAATCAAATAAATAATGAAACACTATTATCATTAAGGGAAGATTTTGAATGATTTTGTGGACAACGTTAAGAACTAACATGTAAAACTAGAAAACTTGAAAGAGGAGGGTATCCATATCTCAGAAAGGATCTCAGTAATTGCTGTGATGATAAGCAATTAGCTGGGTTTGGGGGTAAGAAGTGGTGAAAGAGACTGAATCATGACTGGGGAGACAGTGGAGACAAACCCGTGACCCAAGGCTGGCAGAAATGAACAGCACATGAAATACAGAGAGGCAGAGTAGGGAAAAGAATAAAAGTCTGAAGAAACAGTTTCCAGATAATAGCTTGGAGAAGTCTTAAATATAACTCAGGAGGCACAGGGTCATGGGAGCTATAAGAGGAAATTGGTAGGCTGGGGGCTTGGCGGGCTCAGCCGAGTGTCTTCCCAGAGTGCTGAAAACAAGACCTGAAGAGATGACATTTGGTTCAGAAATGAACATGAAGTGAAGATTAAATGTAGAAAATGCTCTTTGAAGAAGTCAGAAACTAAAAGAATACTGCACTGGGGATTTAGCCTTGGACAGTATCCTAAAATAGATGATGCATGTTTTAGGTTGAATAGGAGAAGGCAATGGTGTTAATACTGCCAGGAAATGACAGAACATATAAGTGAGAATGAGACAGACTCTAGATGAGGTTTTGCTGCGGCTGGGTCTAAGAGTCAGTTGAAGAAGAAATGTAAAGAAAAACCAGAATCAATATGAGCATGACATAATTGCAGAGCAGAAACATTATATAGATTTAGAAATCTAGATACCCCTCATTAGGAAAAAAATATTATTTCAGGTCTAGGTAATTAAAATGTTTACCCACCATTATTCATTGATATAGCCAGCACATGTAGTTTATTATCAACACATCGACAATTTGATAGTATTAAAATGTAAACCGAGCAGGAATTATTACACTAGTTGTCAGACCTGGGAATATGTTACTGGTGAGGAACAGGCACTTGGAGGCTGTATTAGTGACTTGTCTTGTTGTTATGAGCAAATACTCACCCAGCAAGAAGCAACTTAATGGAGGAGAGAAAGGTTTATTCTGATTAACAGTGGAAAGGGGATACAGTCCATCATATTTGGAAAGGCACCCTGAAAGATGGCTTATCGTGATGGGAACTAGTGGCTGGAAGAGCTTTGCTCCTGTGTCTCTCATCAGAGCAGAAAGCAAAGAGTGGACAGGACTGGGCTATAACCCTGTCCACCTATAACTAATTCCTCCAGTAAGGCTCCCCATTCTAGAAATTCTATAGCCCTCCCCCCCAAAGCATCATTAAGAGCTGGACCCCATGTGTTCATACATGTCACATGTGAACAACTCAGAAGCTGAGGGAATTGCACTGCAGATAACAGATATTTTTCTGTTGTGTGATGACATTAGCTCGTCTTCCCGGTCATTATACTTGAATCTGGCACTACAGCTTTGGACCCTTTATGTCCTCCACTTGAGGCCATTGTGGATTGTATGTTTTGTATATTCTCTACTCATAGGCTGGGTAAGCCAAGAATTTTAAAAGCTCTACCAGCATTCTTACTCTTCACTTCCAAAACTCATTTTCTTCCAGGATGAAAGAGCAAGTTGATGGCTATTCAGAGCAGAAAGGGTAATCCCACTTCCCTTGTGATGGTACAGCTGAACACTATGATTGTTGGCGTTCCAAAGACCATCATTTTTCCCAAAGCTTTAGTGTTCCTGCTGACAACGGTGCTTGCTAGAGGTCAACTTTCAGACATAATAAGAAGTGAAATAACCATGTATTTGCCCAAAGATTTCAGATAAACATCCTTTCTGAATGTTTCAGAATGTCATAAAAATGGCTGCCTCCTTTGATCTCATGCTTTTTGTTCAGATCGCTTTTGTGTTAAGTCTGTGGTTCAGGGCATTCATTCATTCATTGCTGGGCATTAGTTCAGCAGCCCTGAAGACCATTTGAAAATATGTCAGTGGCTTCACCATCTCTGGAGGTGACAGCATGGTAATAAATCAGTGATGTGAAACTCAAGCTATTGTAGCCACACAGTGGCATCACTCTGGTCAGAATGTCACACCTTATTAAAAATATTTTACATGAGCATCATTGTAGACACTGTATACACAGATGGATATCCTCCCATTTCCATGACTTACCCTTTCTCTGACCATTAGAAAGATATGTGATTTTCATCCAGAATTGAAATGTATAGCGTAAACAGGAAATGTAGTGTCTTTAAGTACCCTCCTCCCATTCTCCTTTCTCCAGAATTTTCTTTTTGGGGAGAACCCAGCAGTGTCCACTCCACTAACTCTTTGAAAGTTCCCAGGGACAAACAAAAGTTCCATCCCACTAAAGTTCCTAATTTTTAAAAAATATGTTCACACTGGAGATCACTGTCAACAGCTCCCAGCATGGAGGTAGTCTACACACACACACACACACACATACACACACACACACACACACACACACACACACACACACACACAGTCCCACATGTAGCCAATGTACTACATCTCAGATAATACTCTAGTTTGTCCTTTTTAACTTTGGAATATAATCAAGGAAGACATCGGTTTTCTGTTTCCTTTCCTTTTTTCCTCCCTTTTAAATTATATAATAGAAAATATCAAATATGTTGCATGGTTTTCATGAGAAATAAGTTGTAATATTTAAAGAAATGTATTCTAATGTGACTCAAAGCACTTTACGTATTACATATCAGAAAGTGAGACCGATTTTTGTGGAGCCAGTGAGCTGAGCACTTACTTTCCTGTCCTTCTTTTCCTTCATCTGCATGTCACTTATTTCTCGTAGGGGCCGTGGGGGTGCTATTCCTCCACCACCACCACCTGGACGCGGTGTTCTTACCCCTCGGGGGACCACTGTGACCCGTGGAGCTCTTCCAGTGCCCCCAATAGCGAGAGGTGTCCCTACACCTCGTGCTCGTGGGACCGCAGCAGTACCCGGGTACAGAGCACCCCCACCTCCAGCCCATGAGGCTTATGAAGAATACGTAAGTACCCCCAAGAAATCTGTAGTGAGGAAGAGCTAAATTTACTGGTTCAGAAGGTCAACTCCGTTCCATGAAAGTAGAAGGTAATGTTAGTTGCAGCACACAAATGTCATTTTCAACAGAAGTCAAGCCATGGATTTACATGTGAACACTTAGGGAAAAAAAGTTTTCATTTCATAGATGTCATCATTGCAGTGTATGTGACATCAATACCTTGTGTTTCAAGAATCAACTCTGCTGAGGTGATCTTATCTTTACAGAGTTTGATCAGCTTTCAAATTGGAAATAATGATAAATTATTACAAGCATGGTATGAATAATCATATGGCCATAGGATTTGCTTGGAACCTAATAAACATTAGGGAAAAACTGATAAATAGGAGCATCAATGTAGACACTGTATACACAGATGGATATCTTCCCATTTACATGACTTACCCTTTCTCTGACCATTAGAAAGATATGTGATTGTCATCCAGAATTGAAATATATAGCGTAAACAGGAAATGTAGTGTCTTTAAGTACCCTCCTCCCATTTTCCTTTCTCCCAAATTTTCTCCTTGGGGAGAACCCAGCAGTGTCCACTCCACCACCTCTTTGAAAGTTCCCAGGGACAAACTAAAGTTCCTCCTGAGGCACTCATGAGTCTATTGGGCTTACTTACAGGACATGATGAGGTGTTACTAACAGGAACATGGGTGACCCCAGAGCAGCCATACTGGAAAGTCTTCACGCAGCCTAGATGATGGCTTTCCTGTAGATTCATAAGTGGAGTCTCCTTCATCAAGTCCTCTCCAGGATGTGTAATCCAGCCCATCCCCTAAGCCTGAAACCCACATGCCATTATGGCAGAATTGCATACAATTGGCTTGGAGGGGTGACTGGATATTCAGGTGAGCTTCCACTAACCCTTCCCATTATGAGAGAACATCAGCACTCAGCTGACCCAGCTGTGGCTGTCTTTGTATAAGCAGACATAACTGGTCTTACGAAGACAGCAGTTAATCTGCCCAAGGGATAAGGCTATGCGGCATGAACCCCCTGTAGGTCCAGATCATCCTGTATCTTGTAGGATCCTCTGACCTTGCTTTGAAAAATCACTAGTCCAGTAGCCACGTTATTGTACCCTCCATGTCTGCTTCTGCTGTATTTATGAAGCTTGGAAAGGGAATTTCTTGCTTGTGTCCCAGGATTTTGTAATCATAAGACTCTACTATTAATTTTAAACTGAAATGACACAAGTCAGGCCATTATCCGATAAGAAAGGATTATTGTTGGGACTAGAGAGATGACTCACTAGTTAAGAGCACATACTGCTCTTACAGGGGGCCTGGGATGGATTTCTTGAATCCATATGACAGTTTATAAGCCTCTGTAATTTCGGTTCCATGGGGATCTGATGTTCTATTCTGGTCTCCAAGGACACCAAGTATGTATGTGGTGCCTATACATACATGCAGACAAACGTTCACACACATAAGAATAAATAAATACATTTTAAAACACACTACAAAGAGCATCAGTGTGTCTTTAATCTCTCTAGTATGCTCATCCTGTAATCTAAGCATTTATTTCATTTTACCAACAAATGCCCTCCTCTTAAATACCTTCTGCAAATCATTGCTCATTAAATTTAAACCCTTTAGTAATAATTGCTATCATGTGCCGGGCACTAAAATCATATAAATCATTACACACTGGCTAATTAATAGTCAAAATCTGATCCCAAAATAAAGTGATCATAGTTGATAGGTTCCATTCAAAATACAAATCCTTAATGCTGGGTACATTTTAAATATGATGTTACTCTTTTAACATAAAACACTGACAAATATCTTAAGTACCGAAGGAAGATTAAATATGGAAATCCTAATAGAACTGACAACATACATTCATCTGAACTATCTTTCATATACAAGACACTGATGTTTACAAACTTAGACATTAATGCAAAGTCAGAAAATATAACTCAACTTGTAATTAAGCTGATTCAAAATTTAGTCAGGAATCTGACACCTTTTACCTAAGACATATTATTTACAAAGTAAGTCCTTACTATGTTGTAAATTAAAAACATGGTGGAAGATGGGGTAACTTTTCATGTTTAAAAAAGTTTGGAGGCCCACATTTATTATGTGTATTGTCACTACTGTGTATATTTCTATGTATTTATTCAGTCAGATCATTCAAATATTTAAAATGAGGGGTGGGTAGATTCTTTGGTGAGTAAAACATTGCTGTCTAAGCTGTGTGTGCCTCTCAGGTATCCATATAAAATCTTGTGTGAATGTGGTGCACATCTTTAACTGAAAAGCTCAGAGGTAGAGCCTGGCAGCTGCTGGGGCTTGCTGACCAGCTAGTCTCAGTAAAAGAGTTAAGTTCCAGATTTAGTGAGGGACCCTGCCTCAAAATTAACATGGAGAATGATAGAGGAAGACCCCTAATGTCAACTTCTGTCCTCTATATGTTCATGCAAGGATGAGTGAACCCACATGCATGCATATACCACACACACACACACACACACACACACACACACACACACACACACTCACACACATACTTAACACAAACACACACACACACACAAACACTAAAATGAGAGGGAAATTTTCAATGTCATTAATTGAAATCTTCTATGGTATATGTAGCACTTTGGAAGAGAAGAAAATGGGCCAAGAGAATTGTAGTTTTCATGTGTGTTTCTGTTTATGGTGAATCAAGCTCTGAGTATGAGGTAAGAGTAAATTGCAGAAGCATAAGGGGCTCCTGGAAATAAACACAACATTCTGAATGGAAAAAACCCAGAAAGGTGTGGCCTTTGGGAAGACTAAAATAGTGAAGCCATGTTACTATCTCACACCTTTGCTTACTGGACCTCCCCTATTTTAAGTTCTTTTCTGAGATCCTGGGGATAGATGTGTGAATGAACATAATCAACAGCTATTTCATAAAGCTGGCATTTTACTAGGAGGTCTTAAGAAACAAACGCACATAGGTAAGTGAAGGAAAGCAAGGTAAAGCTCTGGACAGGGATGGGGGTGGTTGAGTACCATAGGATGGGCAGTTTGGGAAAGTCTCTTGGATTTCAGTATAGTAGATGACTCAGGGAAAGGCTGTGTAAGCTAAGGGCTAATTTATAAACAGCATCCCAAGTAGGAGAATCAGCAATTGCATTCATGATGAAGTTGAATCTTTTTGTGGTGTTGGGGGATCAGTAAGACGAGAGCTGGAACAGAATGTGTGAGGAGAATAGTAAAGAAATTCTCCAGGAAGGACAGACTTACTCATGGTGCCAAGTAGAAGGTTTTGAAGAGAAAGGAATGTGCTCAGATTGGATTTGTTTTTATACTGTTGATTCTTCCTATTTCATGGAGACCAGAACATAAGTCCTGAGATATGTAAACAAGTTATGCAGAAACACTGTGACTTCTTATAGTACCCCACTTTGACAAAATGATGGCTTGGAGGGGATGCATAAGGTGCAAATTCCCTGGGAAAGGGATCTTTCCACAGTTGGTGATGACATGGCTGTGGGTGGATGCAGTAAAGGGTCATTTTCCTTTTTGTTTATTTTTGTAAAATTTTCATGAAATAATATTTTGGGGATAAAAGAATTGGGTTAAACTAAGGGGAATATGTATTAAAATGAGAACCCGGGTGGGAGGGGAAAGGTGAGAGTTCAGTTTGGGATCATGCTGAGCCAAGGCTTTCAACCTGCAGGACCATGCCGTTGCTGCATAGATACGGTGTGCACTATGACCATAAATACTCCTAAACACTTATAGGCATCCATAAGTGCTTATAATACTGTAAGTATTGAATAAAAGCTAAGTACAATATAAAATGACATTGTGTTTTCCTTAATATCTTTCGACTACGGACGTATTTAATTCATAGATGTTTATCTTTTTTGAAACTGATCAGGCATTATTGATTTTAAATAGCTAATAAACATCTGACCTTATGTTATTGAAATATAGACTTAGCATTGTGGGAATGTTGTGTGTGGAAGTTCAAGAATCCAATAACAGTATGTCGTTAGATCCTGAGGAATGCTTGGACCAAGGAGCTAGGAATCTGCTAGGAATCTTTGCTCCATGTCTTCTTTGTATTCTTTTTCTTTTCTTTTCTTTCTTTTTTTTCAAACTTCTCTTTTCTATCCTTATTGTTGCACTCCATGGTACTTATTTAAAATGTATATAACAGTTAACACTATTCAAGGTGTTGTTCAAAGAATAATACTTCCAAATAACGACAGAGTATTGTCAGGTAATGGCACTTCAAATATTTGAGAATATATGCACTTTTTATGCTGCTTGAAGTTTATCAAATATTTTATTGATTTTTACTTAATAAATAATTATATAATTCATGTATTTAGTTTGTTAATCTTTGGTTCTACTCTTAGTCAAAACTTTCCACCTCTCTCTACAGATTCTCAAGCTACATACTAATAATCCATTTAATAAAGATAATATTCCATAATGTACCATAATGAGTCATTTTTGTTAAGATCTCATCATTTTTGTTAAGTTCAGACAGAACTATAATTCTTTTTTTTTTTTTTTTTTTTTGGTTTTTCGAGACAGGGTTTCTCTGCGTAGCTTTGCGCCTCTCCTGGAACTCACTTGGTAGCCCAGGCTGGCCTCGAACTCACAGAGATCCGCCTGGCTCTGCCTCCCGAGTGCTGGGATTAAAGGCGTGCGCCACCACGCCCGGCTCAGAACTATAATTCTTAGCACTCATAAAACTTCACACAAATATTTTGCTGGCGAGTTTACGTCAACTTGACACAAGCTAGAATCATTTGAGATGGTAGAAAATCAATTAAGAAAACACTTCCTCCCCCCACCCCTGAATTGCTTGTGTTTTCTATGGAGAAACACTGGTTTGTAGAGAAAATCATCAGGTTGGCAAGCAACACAGTATCACTACAGTAACAGAGCATGGATAACAGGAAAGGCTGGGTACTTACAGCTTTTCTTGTTAATCGCTTA